CACCCCACACCACCACCATCCCACACCACCACCACCCCACACCACCACCACCCCACACCACCACCACCACCACCCATCAGCTGCATGTCCTGGGAGGATGCTCCAATCCATGCTTGATGACCAGAAGAGCAGTGGGAACCAGGCCACGTTAGATGCTATCTGGTGGAAGATGGAGATTTCTATCATGGAAGCTGCTTGGGAAAAGCTAGGGACCTGCAGTAGAGGCAGCCATCAGGGACCACTGGAGTTCCAGCCCACTGTAGCATCTGAGCCACATAAGAGATAGACTAGGAGCTGGGGTAAGGAGGTGAGCAAGTATCAGTCATTATGCTTCCCAATCTACACTGAAGACATGGTTTGCCCACCCACTAAAACTGAACTTCCTAATTCTGTCCTTAGCTCCCTCTCCAGACTTAAATCCCATGAGAGAAGGTTCCAGGTGCTCCACACATGCAACTAGCAACAAGGGCAAGGATGAATTGTCCCATACCCTGAGAGTACAGATGGCACCTGGGAGCCCAGAGCTAGGTCTCTTGGCTGCTTCTTGAAGAAGCACAGATGAAGAAGAACCGAGGTTTTGAAGTCTCTCTGTGTATTCTGGAAGAACCGAGTTGGAAGCTGCTGTCTGCAGGTGGAGCACTGAAAACTCTGGGGGATGGGAAGGATTTGCTTGTTATCCTGACCCCATGACCTCGCAGGCATCACAGAAAGCCAGTCCCTCAATGCTGCAGTCCTTGGTTTATTGAGAAGGCACTGGTCTATAGGTGCTGGCACAGAGGACACATGACAAAGAGCACTTTAGCCATCTGCTGAGGAAATACCAGGGTAAATTAAAACGAGCGTGGATTTGTGACTTCTGTCTTTTCCAAAAAGATAGTGTTGGCAGTTTTATGAGAAAACCATTCCCAAACACCTTGAATTTATATGGCACGCTTATTTCAAAAGCTCTTCACATCTGTTAGCTCTTTGAAGGCTCCAGAGGCAGGTAAGGTAGGAAGGAGAACTGGGTGGAAGAAACCGAGCCACAGAGAGCACAGACGAAGGCTGTGAGGCTCTCCATAAAGAGATTAGGGGTGATGCCTACCCCAAACCCCAACCTGTCACAAATACTAGGGCAACTGACCCTCTGTGCTTGGATGGCTGCCACTAATGTGCTTCTGCAGAAGGTTGGAGGTGAACACTTCCGAGCTAGAAGTGCATGAAGTCGCCCAAGTGCAGAACATCCATCCCTTCCTCACACACACCAAGCATCCCTGTACCCATGTGCCCTGTAAATTAGCCAAGGTTTAGAGGTAAGGGAATAATGGTTCCTCAAACAGAAACAAACAGAAGCTGATTGACAAGGAGGCCGCTCATAATCAGTGCGGCAGTAAACTATACTAATTATGGTGTCAATTGGTAACATTATAAAAGGCTGGAGCTACAGAATGAAAACATCATATGCACAGCAGAGTGAGTTCAGAGGATGTAATTACAGGGTGACATTATTGGCAAATGGCACTTTATGAAGTATTAGCTTCATAAAGTTAATGTGGATGTGGAATAAACAGGTTCCAAAACACATAGGCTCCCCGGAAACAAGGGTAACCTAGAAGTTGCCAAAGGCTGACCCTCCAAACTCTGCAGTTTGCCCACCTGAGCAGTTTATGAGAGCTCCTGGGCTCTTCTTGGAGCAACTCAAGGGAGAAAAATGTTTCCAAATGGAACTGCCACTTTCTGTCTGTCCTTTCTTGGAAGTGACATAACATATTCCTATATGGTCCCCAGTATTTTATGCTGCGATGAAGATTTGGGATTTGGGGCTGTCCACAATGGGGTACTGAACTTGACAGTCTCCAGTGAAAGTAGGGAGAGAGCGAGCTTGGCTTTTCTGACAGTACTCACCCGTGGAGAAGTGCATTCTTCTCTTGAGATGCGCCCATGCTGCTTTCCCCAATGGCTGCACAGGCTTCCCTTCACAGCGTGTGCAGGCTGGCCGTCATTCTCCATTCTCTCCAGCACTTGCTGTCACCCATCTTTCCCAGAGAAGACATTTGGACATGAGTGATATCATAGCTCTTCATGGGTTTAATTTGCATTCAATTAATAATGTGTAGTGCTGAGCTTTTCCCATGTATGTCTAATTGTATGTGGTCTTCTAAGAAATTGCCTATTCAGATCCTGTCTTTGTTTCTTTCCTTGTTTCTTTGTTTCTTTCTTCTTTTTGTTCTGGGGATGGAATAGAAGGCCGTTGGCATGCTCAGCAAGTACTCTTCCACTGAGCTAACCCTCAAACCCACTGGTGGATTTTAGGCAGGGGCTCTACCCTGACTTAAGTTCCTAGCCCTTGACTTCTTGTGACAGGGCCTTGCTCTGTCACAGGACTGGCTTCAAAGTCATTATCATCTGTCTGTCTTCCAAGTACTGGTTTCCCAGGTCTGTCCCACACTCAGCCGTTGCTTATTTTCTTAATGCTGAGTTCTGTGAGTTATTATATATTTGGGATATGAACCTTGTTTGAGGGGGAGCTATCTTTTCCCATTTTTTAGGATTCTTGACTCTGGCAATTACTGCTTTGGCTATGCAGATGCCTTTATGTTTTGTTCATTTATTTTTATGATACCAAGAACATCTCTTTGGCCATAATTTAGTGACCAAAGAAATTATTAAGCCCATCCCACATTAAAATGAAGGGACAGTAGAGTCTACTGTTTTGATGGGAAAAAAGAAGAAAAAAAAACTTAAAAACCTCGGTTCTTCTTCATCTGTGCTTCTTCAAGAAGCAGCCAAGAGACCTAGCTCTGGGCTCCCAGGTGCCATCTGTACTCTCAGGGTATAGGACAATTCATCCTTGCCCTTGTTGCTAGTTGCATGTGTGGAGCACCTGGAACCTTCTCTCATGGGATTTAAGTCTGGAGAGGGAGCTAAGGGCAGAATTAGGAAGTTCAGTTTTAGTGGGTGGGCAAACCATGTCTTCAGTGTAGATTGGGAAGCATAATGACTGATACTTGCTCACCTCCTTACCCCAGCTCCTAGTCTATCTCTTATGTGGTTCAGATGCTACAGTGGACTGGAACTCCAGTGGTCCCTGATGGCTGCCTCTACTGCAGGTTCCTAGCTTTCTGGACCTTTGGTTCAGATCAAATGTGAAATGTGTTCTGCTGGGAACACACAGGTCATATAAAACATGTGTACACAACTCCTTCTTTTTGTAATACAGGCAATACATAGCATGTGTACACAATGCTCCCAATGGGTGCATACAGGCCATACCCAGCATTTGTAAACATTCCTTCTCTAGGTACACACAGGCCATGCACAGCATGTGTACACAGCTCCTTCACTAGGTACACACAGGCCATGCACAGCATGTGTACACAATTCCTTCTCTAGGTACACACAGGCCATACACAGCATGTGTACAAATTCCTTCTCTAGGTACACACAGGCCATGCACAGCATGTGTACACAATTCCTTCTCTAGGTACACACAGGCCATACACAGCATGTGTACACAATTCCTTCACTAGGTACACACAGGCCACGCACAGCATGTGTACACAAGGCCTTACCTCAGTGTTCATAAACTAGATAAGCTGCTACCAGCTTCCACTTAGAATAGATGAAGCAATTGTCTTCTTGTGACCCTAGGAATCTAAGCCAGGACCTTGCACATTCTACATCAGTGCTCTATTACTGAGCCCTGTATTCTTATTTTGAGAGAGAAGCTCACTATGGTTCTCAGAATAGCATTGAACTCACCCTGTACTCCAGGCAGACCGTGAGCTTAGTTAGGATCCTCCTGCCTCAGCCTCCCCAGTAACAAGGATTGCAGGTGTGTGCCACAATAGTAATTGTTAAAGTTTTGACCAGCGACTGTAGGACATAATACTAGTTCTGGTGGGATGCGTCTGGATACAGTGACAGTCCCAGGCACCGCTGCCAAGGCTTAAGCTGGGAAAACACAATATATATATTCACTGGGATAAGGAGAGAAGAGAAAGGAAAAAAGGCTTACTCTCCATACAAGGCACTATGGTGATGGAAAAACATGGACACAGCCATAATAGAGCTACAAGCTTTAATGAGAATTTCTAAAAATTGGAACTCTGTGTCAAATTGGCTTAAGCATAAAAGTGAAAGGGACAAGAAGACATTAGGACACAGATTCCTTCAGGCAGGGCTTGAACCAGAGTGTAGGAACACATCCTACACATTTTAGAATTTCATTCTGTTTTATTTCATTTTTTTAATTAAAAATTATATCATTTTCTCCTTCCTTTGTCTCCCTCCTTTATCTCCTCTCTTATTCATGACCTAATGTTCTTTAATTGTTATATATCCATATATATGTGTATATAATATAATATATATGCATAACTATATAAATACAACCTCCTCAATCTGTTTAGTATTGCTTGTATTATATGATTTCAGGGCTGACCACTTGGTATCAGATAATCAATTATGGGGCTCATCCCTGGGTAAGAACTACTTTTGACACATTTAGCAGGGAGAGAACTGATCAGCACAGGAGTGGGTTTCACTCCTTTTCATATGTATGCATTCATTTGCGTCATTTCGGGGCATTTTCTCTGTGTCCTTTTGTGGAGAGGATGGCCTCTGGAAACCCAGACTTGCCTCTATGTTTTGTTTGTTTGTTTGTTTACCCCTTTTTTACTTTCTTGAGAAAGGGTTCATGATGTAGCCAAGGCTGGCCTAGAACTCAGGATTCTCCTGCCTCGTCCCTCAGTGGGATTATAGACATGGGCATTCACACCAGCTGTAGTGCTCCTACCAAAGCCATACACTGCAGTTAGCCTCCTAAGGTCAAGGGCAGAGTGCTTAGAGGATATCCTACTCTGACTGTGAAGAGTTCAGTGCATCGGGAGTGCCCAGCGATCTGCCAGTGTTACCTGTACTAAGTAAGAATAAAGTACAATGGAGAATTGGGTTATTTTTTCCAAAACAAGTCAGCCAGCGAGCTAGGCAGATACAAAGACCTAAACAGAATGGAGGGCAAGCTGCCCGGTCTGAAAGACCCACAGAATACTTGGTCTCCTGCCACCAGGTAAGAGGATTAGCCAGCTCTCTAGATGTTGGTCATTCAAGAAACTCCTCATGATATGCTCCTGGCAACCCTAGGAAGATGTTAAGCATGGTCAGAGATCAAGACCTAGTCTGAGACCTCACTCTGCCTTCAGCTATTCTTGCCACCTGAGCTACATGCACCAAGATACCTTCTGGGCTCAGAGAACACCCAGAACTGTTCTGGGAGAGAATCTGAGGGAATGAAACATGGCCATCACACTTCAGGTCCTTGTAACAAAGAGCACCACATTTAACAGAATGAATATGAGTAGGGTTTAAGACTGTTGGCTGTGTTTTTAAAACTGTTTAAGCACAGTCGACAGTCCATTGGGTATAACCCCACTCCTGGTAGAAGATTTACCCCACCAAGTACCATAGCCAGCAAAGTAGACTTCCTTAAGCACAGGCTGGGTTTCATCACCACTTAACAAATCACTGCCCTCCTTATAGGATAAACAATAAATAGCGCATGATTTATCATATCACCCAATAAATCAGGTGATAAATTATTAGGCAGAGTGATAAAAATCAAGTGTTTCAGAAATAAGTTAATCTATGATGCCAATGTGTACACTTAGCAGTTGTTTAAAAACCCAATTTACTAATCATTTCTGCATAAAGAAAGATTAATGATTACACAGATTAAATGTGTATTTATTCCTATAAACTTCAGACAGCTATGTGCCCCACAGGCCTTCTCTTACCATCAAAGCCCTCCCATTCCCACCCCCCACACACACCCCAAAATAACCTTCCCTCAATTCCCTAGGCTACCCTCCTCATGGGTTAGGCGAGACAGAAAAGACGGCTGGAGAAAGAAGGGCGAGAGAAAGAAATGGTTAATGAGGAGTGTGTCACTGGGGGTACTGGCAGAGTCGCTGTTCTCAACGTAAATTCTGCAATCCACTAATTAACACTTTCATTAGGGCTTGGAGACAGGCTCCAGAGCTGCTTGCTTTTCCGATCTGCCTTCGACCCCGTGCTCTTTCTCACTTGTGACAACTATGTTTAAAGCTTCTCTGCCCATCGAGCTGGCTGGCACATTGAATTACCCTCAAGAGTCCATGGGCATCACGTCACATTTGTGTGCCCGATATCATACGTGACGAGCTGTACCACCGCCAGGGCCGTTAATGCGCAGCCCACAGACGGCCAGGCCCTGGAATGCATAGGCAGATATTAAGCTAAATCTTTTCAGAGTCAAGCTTGTTTTGCGTCAGTTACACAAACATATTGGTTCCCTTAAAAGAACAAATGCTTTGTGAGGATGGAAACGACTTCAGGACCGTAACCTTAGAAGTCACTCCACATTCCAATTCAGGTCGTCTTTCTGAAAGTCTCTTTCTCCGAGGGATGAGGGGAAGATTGCCTGACTTCTAGATTACAAGTTGTGAACTAAATTCAACATAAACTCTGGGAATTATGCGGCAATGTAAAGAGGGAGGAAGGGAGAGCCCTGGAGAATGTAAATAGGAAGACAACCAGAATGCATGAGATGTCCACACCACTCCCCTCCACAGGCTCCTCTGACTATGGTTTCTACCAGCCTAGCATATCGACCCCCAAAGCTGATCCCAGCTGTGCCAGTCAGCTTTCCATTGCTGTGACAAATTACCTGAGGAAATCTCCTTAAAGAAAGACAGATTTGTTTCTGGCTCACAGACTCGGTCTTCTGTCCATGGCCGGCTGTGCAGTTTCTGAGCCATGGTGAGGCGGAGCAGGAACTTGGTAAAGATGCTTATTTCATGGTAGGCAGAAAGGGAAGGGGACAGAGGGAGAAAACAAGAATGGAACGGAGGAGAGGGAAAGATAAAGTAGCCCCCTCAAGAGCACACACTCAAAGACCTACATGCTCAAGAAACACTTCACCCCTAAAATTCTGACCCCCTCCCAATACTCCAGTACTCCATAAATGCATCAACAGATGAGTCTGTTGATGAGGTCAGAGTCCTCACGATGCAGGGGCCCCACCTCTATATTGGAAACTAAGCTTTCAACACATGAGCTTTCTGCAGAGGGCACACTGCAGAACCAAATCATGACACCAGCAGCACAAACAGAAGGGGAAGGCATCTTGCATGTGTCCAAACTCCCTTCTCTTTTTACACTAATCCTATGCTAAATTCCTGAGAAAATGCCAGTCACCAAGGTTTGGGTGACAACAACCTGGCAAAATGGTTGTGAGCCTGGATAAAGACTGGAAGTCACAGAGGAGGCAGGGATCTGGGCTGCCCTGTCCATTCTTCTGACAACTCCAGCTTCAGTGAGCCATCGGCAGCCTTGGCCCCTGAAGCAGAGATTCAAGACCTGAGCATTTATACCTGGTTTTCAGGCAGGGCAGAGTGCTGGGATTCAAGTGCCTGGTACAAGAGTGTCCCAGCACTTGGCCACAGGAAAGGGTACATTTGTGTCATGCTGAATTTCTGAAGAGGCATTCTTCCCTGACAGTCAAGAGCTTGGCTGCTGGAACCAGACTGTCTGCCTTGAAGCCAGCTCTGCCATCCATTTCCAGTAGGGCCAGGATCCAGTAATGGGAGAGTTAGCTGCTCTCTGCCTCAGTTTACCATGGGATTACATAATGGCACCTTAGCCTACAGGGTTATTTGGGAAATTAATTGTGCTAGGTCATATGACTCTCCTGGAAGAACAGCTGGCACCAAGGATGTGTTATAATGTTTGCTTTCTTTCTTCTTTCTTCCTCCCTTCCTTCCTTTCTTTCAAGGGTCTATTTATTTATTTCTCTATTTGTTTATTTATTTTGGTTTTCCTACACAGGGTTTCTCTGTGTAACAGGCTTGGCTGTCCTGGAACTCATGGAGATCCTCCTGTCTCTGCCTCTCAAGCGCTGGGATTAAAGGCATGCGCCACCACCTTTCTAAAGGATGGTGTTTCTCAGCTCCAGTCTACAAAGGCCATTGGTCATCACTGGCCCATTCGGTCACTATAATCAATACAGGTAAAGTCTCCTGTATCTTCCTGCTCTCTCACTCCACAGGAAACTCGGGATGCTAGGTTGTTTAAAGGATGAGAAATGTACTTTGTAACTAAGTTAGGGGAAATTCTTTAATTCTTAAATGTAGGGATTCTGAAGGATAATGGAAGAAAAAGTCAGAATCCCTCACTTTTGCTGTTTTGAGAAAGGGTCTCAAAAGGCCCAGGTTGGCCTCAAACTTACTATGTAGCTAAGGACAACCTTGAACTCTTAAATCTTCTACCTCTACCTCCCAAGTGTTGGGATTATAGGCAGACCACAGCAACTGGCATACAGTTTGAATCTTCAGTGTTTCTCAAAGTCTTTGATTTAAAGGATCGGTCTCCACATGGCACTACTGGAGAATGGTGAGGCCTTCAGGAGATGGGCCCATATGAAGACATCAAGAGACATGTGCTAAAGAGAGATGGGACCTATGTCTCTCTCTCTCTCTCTCTCTCTCTCTCTCTCTCTCTCTCTCTCTCTCTCTCTCTCTCTCTCTCTCTTTGCTGTGGCTTCCTGGCTGGTGCAGAATTGAGCAGTTTAAAACCCATAGAATAGAGACCTCAAAGCAATGGGGTCACCTGAGCAGGACAATGGCATCATCAGAGCAGGACAATGGCTTCATCTGAGCAGGACAATGGCTTCATCTGAGCAGGACAATGGCTTCATCTGAGCAGGACAATGGCATCATTTGATTAAAGTCTAACACCTCTAGCACCAAGAGCCAAGATAAACCCTCTCCTTGTGAGTTGGTTGTCTCAGGTATTTGTCATAGACGTGGAAAGCTGAGTATGAATACGTGGGCCTGTCTCAAAGGGAGGAAGGTTTATGTTGTTCATGGTTCAAAGGTCACAGTCGTGTCACCCCTTTGCTCCTTCGCTTCTGAGCTGTGGTGAGGTGGCATCATGGTGAGAAGACACAGCATGGAGGAACAGAAATGCCCATCACATAGTGATCAGGAAGCAGAAAGAGAGAGGGGGAAGCAGGGTCCTCTCAAGTACCCTACTTCCTCCCCCTAGACCCCATCTCCTAACAATCCTCAGTGTGGATTAACCCAGTGACAAAGCCAGA